CATCCTGCCGAATTCGTCATCCCCTACCTTCCCCACAAACGCGGAATTCCCGCCCAATCGCGCCACACCCACGGCAACGTTGGCTGGCGCGCCGCCTGGAGCCTTCTTGAACGCCGGCGCTTCCGCGAGCGACAATCCATTCACSGTTGGCACGAAGTCAATCAACAACTCCCCGAACGAGACGATCAACGGAGCAGCAGCTGACGAAGCCATCTCTCTCTCTCTCTCTCTCTCTCTCTCTCTCTCTCTCTCTCTCTCTCTCTCTCTCTCTCGTTCTCTCTCTAGCGCGGATGAGGATTACGAAGTTGTCCTAGCGATGGCGGAAAGGTCGGCAGGCAAGACACGGGGATGGGCCAGAGAGTCCGAGTCCGTTCTTTCTGCCGTCTGCCCAACGCTACCACCAGTCGAAATCGCAGCCCAGCGTCGAATGAACSGCTCCTCCGCTCCTCAACCCCGTGCCTGCCTGTCTGCCTCCGTGTTCAACCTCCATCAAAACCTTTTATTATATAGTAATCAGAGACGAATATGTTCCGATTGGTCACCCGCGCCACATTGCTCCCCTCTCTCAGGGCCTCGCCACACCACTCTCGAATTGTGAAAAGGACAAAAATGTGGCCGGCGCATCTTGCCTTGTTCTAGGGGGAAGTTCRTTCTCATTTTGCACATTTCGAGAGAGGTGTGGCGATGCCTCAGAACGGGCATGGGCAGCAACCAGCGACTGGGATGGCACACGCACATGCGACCCGATACAGACACAACCAGTGATATTTTACGTCAGAGACGAACAAGAAAGACTAAGAGGCTCGCCACGCACGCTGTCGAATGTCGAAAATTTTCGACAGTCCGGCCGTCGACAATTTCGCCCCCCTTCGCCACATAGGGCCTCCCCACACCACACCCGACTTGGGAAAATTTTCGGGAGTGCTCCCGGAAATGAAAGCCGGCTCGGCCGGGTCGAATTGTGAGGTCCCCGGCCTCGTCCCAAGGTTTTTGTTTGATAATATCGCAGCTTTCCACAAAAAAAAAAAAAAAAACGGCTCGGGAGTGCCTTTTTTTTTTTTTTTTTTTTTTTTTTTTTTTAAACCAAAACCTTTATTTATCTGTAAAAACTCGAGGCCGGGGACCCCACAATTCAACCCGGAGTTATCCTGGCAGCGTCAGCCAGTTTAGCTTGGGAGCAGGCTGATCTAGGCACAGAAATGGCCAATTCTGGGCCGCTGGCCTGAAACCGCTCCTGAGAAACAAAATTTGCATCAAGCCATCAAAACCAAACAACCCCAAAAGCAGGTTACCTCTAAGCTACCCAAGTAGCTAAACTAATCCCCAAATTCTAACTACTGTTTATCTTATATGACTACCTACACCAATCTTGATCTGTCTAACACGACAGACGGACCCACGGGACTGAAGAGTCAACAGACACTACTGGCGCTCCCTCCACTTACAATCCCCCTGCCTTCCTACTGTGGATCTCAGAACCGAGCACCCAGGTTCCTCCTACGAGAAATCCTATCTTAATTAGGCTACTTCTCAAAAAACCATTGATCCAAATCTAGTTTATTCGTTGCCGATATCCGGGCTATCTTATCCCCGATGCACCAAGTGCGGGCAAACCATCTCCTTCCGGCCTCACTTGTTCCACAGCTCTTCCGCCTCCAGTCAGCCTGAATGGCTCTGTGTAGGAGAGTGCAGAAGGAGAAGCGTATTTCTTTATTAGTAAGTTCTATGTTATTGAAAATCCTGTTGTTCCTCTCCTTCCAAACCACTTCCACTCCTACTGCTCTGGCTGATTGCGCAACGTATCCCCACCATGCTTCTTTCTGCAAAGAGTCCGGAATGCCTCCTAATACAACCCAGTCTCTGGACCATTCCAAACTCTTGTCAGCTACTCTAGACGAAAAACCATTCCACCATTTCCAGATGCGGTGAGAGCTCGGACAATCCCACCACAGTTGAGGGGTGGACTCAAACGCCCACTGACATCTGTGACAAGTTAGCTCAACCTGAAGCCCTCTCTGTGCTAACCACACTGCTGACGGGGTTGCAAGGAGGGAAAGAAGCCAGAGCATCGCCGCTTGCCGTTGATTGGAGATTAGCTGTAGTTGTTCCCAGCATGTTGAAATGGCTGATCTGATTTCGTCCGGTGGGAGCTGGAGGACTTGCATCCATCTACTAACCGCTACTGCCAGAGGCTGACGTGGGGTCCTAGGAGCTTATAGCCTAGTTGTGACTGGTATTTGGTCAACGACAAATTCTCTCCATTCCTACCCCTTGCTCTCCAAGTCCACAGTGTCGGATCTAGTCTCAGTGTTGATACTGGCACTCCATCCAGTAAAACTGTGCATGTCAGATTGCCCTTTCCGTCCTGTTCTTCCAAAACTCTTACCTGCGCTAGTCTCTCTCCCAGTTCCGGTTGCCTATCTTCCACCAGGCTTAACAGTTGCGGCTCTGTTGTATCAGTCTGTGCTTGCCAGCATTGAAATACTCTCCTTCCTTCCGAATATGTGATGAGTTTCCAGAACTCCGTTAGAGGCTGGTCTGCAGAGGACTGGTACCAAGTTCCGGGAGGGTCTAACCCTGCTGGATCAATTAGATTCTTCTAGGCTTCTGGGATTGCGGCCGTTACTGCTGCTAGCTTCTCCTCCAAGTGTCTGGCTGCTCCCAGAGAATTCTGTAGTTCCGACTTGGTTTTCCAGCGGTTGAGGATGTGATCCCACAAGTCTCTAATGGTACCGACTCCTCGTTCCATCCATTGTCTGCCGAAACTACCAGGGGCCGAGTCTGCTTTCAACCAGTTCCCTGAGGTGTCCCGAATATGGGGGTTCTCGAATATTGGTTCATTAAATACCTCCTGTTTTGTGACCGGCTGTTCCCAGACGTCTGGTCGTAGCTTGCACCATGCCTTGATAATAGGATCCCAGAACGGGGAATGAATAACTCTCCTCTGGTACGAATACGTTAAGAAGGCGGTCCAGACATCCTAAGGGCGAGATAGATGCCATTCTTCCATAAGGATTATTTCTCCTAGCAACACCCAATGTTCCGCCTCCTTAGACAAAGCTACAGCGGTGATCCATCTTACCAGCATCGCAGCATTCCGTCTATCCCGGTCTGTCATACCAAGGCCACCTTCATCTTGCGGACAACAGATTAGATCCCATGCTATCTTGGAAATGAAGCCTTCATTTTCGGTCGAGTAGGGTTTCCAAAGAAACTTTGCTGCTCGTCGTTTCATCATCGGGATCAGTTGTTGGCCGAGCCTTCTTACCGCCTCGACAAACCAGAGCAAGGAAAAAAGTGAGGAGTTCAAGACCATGGCCCTGACGAAAATCGACAGGTGGGGAGCCTTTCCCTAACTAGCCAATTTGTGCAGTACCTTCTGGAGTAATAAGCCATCTTGGTCCGCCGAGCAGTCCATCAGGGCTATTTGAACACCTAAAAACCTTTCCGATTCATTCATCCCTACTTGCCTCATTCCCCAACTCGCCCTCGGGGTATACCGGTTTGGAAGCAGAAAAACTGATTTGTGTCAATTTACTGATGCTTCAGATAGTCCGCAATACTCGTCTAAGCAGTCTTTGAGTTCGCCTAAAGATTCTGGAGTGTTCCAAGAGATGGCCAACAAGTCATCCGCCAATGCTTTAGCACGGTAGTCCGAGTTACCTAGCGGGAGGCCCTGAATGAGAGGGTGCGTTCTGATGTTGTTCAGTAACACCTCTAGCTGGATTACAAACAACAGAGGTGCAAGCGGGCACCCCTGTCTGAGAGAACGGGTCAAACAAAACTGATTCGAGATTTTCCCGTTCACTGCTACTGCTGCTATCGAAAAGACGTACAGTGTTGTTACCTAGTTGCAGAAGTTATCACCGAAATTAAGCCATTTAAGCGTAGAGAGGACATATGACCAGTTCACCCGGTTGTATGCCTTTTCCAAGTCTAGGAGTAGCACCATCACGTCCAGATCTGAACTTGCTATATCTTCCAAAGCCTGGACCGCTGTTACAATATTAGTGAAAATAAATCTCCCGCGTACAAAGGCTGCTTGGTCTTGTTTCACTAGCGTTGGTAGGATCAGACTCAGTCTCCACGCAAGAGTCTTGGCTAGGAGCTTATATGACACGTTCAACAGCGCTATGGGCCGATAGTTTCTTATATATGCTTTATCTCCTTTCTTGTAGAGAACCGAAATGACTCCGTTCCGCATGTTTTTTGAGAGATCTCCCCCTGTCAGGACTGAATTGTAAATTTCCACTAGGTTGTCACCTATCTCCTCCCAGATTGCTAGATATAGCTCTACTGGCATACCATCGTCCCCAGGACTTTCCAATGTGTCATAGATTTCAGCGCTTGAAGCGCTTCCTCTACTGTTATGGGTCTGTCTAACAAGAGACGAGTGGACTGTGGCAGTCTATCCAAGCTATTATCCCAGTGAGAAGAACTTAGATAGAGCTCTGCATCAACCTCCCTACCTTGCAATCTGGATGTGAGAATATCCTTATAGTACAGAGTGACGTTCACTTAAATTAGCTAAGTCCTTCGTCCGTGGGGCCTGTGGGTCAAAGGGGTGGGTTAATTCAACGAGTGGTTGGGCTGCCTGTCTTGGCACCAACCTTTGGAAGGATTCCTTATTCATTATGTCGTATACCGCAATCCCTCTCACTCTTAGCCGCTCCGCCCAGTACTCTGACTTCCTTTGCTGCAGGGCATCTCATTCTGCAATCAGCTTAGCTCTTTCCCGACCCCAAGCTACCTGGGAGATCGGATGGCCGTTCATTCTCCGCTCCGCATCTGCAATCTTCCTTTCCAGTACTTTTTCCTCGTTCTTCCTGCCTGCTGCCAGTATTCGTGAGTAAATATTCAGGTGGTTCGAGAACATCACCGAACCCACCTGCCACCATTCTTCTGACGTGGGGTACCTCTGTTTCATCTGCGACCATTCTTGCCAAAATGTCTTCATCCATTCAACCAGTCCTGAGTCTTCCAAGTTCTGCACATTAAACCTGAAGTAACATTTTCCACGGGCAGCTTCAGATGTGTGCAATTGTAAGACGACCGACTTGTGGTCCGAACACGGTTGAGACTCCTCCTTCACTACTTCTACCTGCTCCCACTGGTGTTCAGATGAGAAATTAATCTAAGCGCCTCCTTATAATGCCAATGCCTTCACAGAAGTTAGAGTGCCACGTATAGCCATCGTCCTGTGGGTTCGCTAGTCTGTAAGGATCGATCAGAGTTAGCATGTCCATAAGGTTAAGGAGGGAGCTAATGTTTGCCGGAATCTGACTACCTGGTCTAGCAGCCACTAAATCCAAGGAAGTGTTCCAATCCCCTACCATTATAGAATTAGCGCAGTCCGGTATAATAGATAAGAGATCCTCAAAGAAGTTGTCCCTCTCTTTCCTTTTTGTCGGAGCATAAATATAGGTGATGAGCCACTCATCATTATAGATCCACAGTTTGACCCATGCCCAGCGTCCCCATAGGTCCGCGTAGTAGTCTATAATCTCTAGTCCAACCTCGCGGTGGAGAAGAATCGTCACTCCACCTCTGATGCCTTGCGCGGGGGACCAAATCTGAGGTCCATCCCACCAAGGGCCCAAATCCGCGATGCGTTGCTCATTAAGTTTGCATTCTTGAGGGCAGATCACTTGGATTCTCTTTTCATGTATCCACGACTTGAGCCTGGCTTTTTTGAACTTGCCTCCTGAATCGCCAAGGCCTCACATATTCCATGTGGCGAGCCTGAGTCTACCCATTCAAGGTGGCTCCCCCTGCTTCCTGGATTGGGGTCACCATACTAGCGTTTGCTGGCTCGGGCTCCCACAGCTTCGATGAGAACCTCACGAAGGAACTTCGATTTGAACTTCTTGTCTCTCGCCAACTTCCCGTCAAGCTGCGTTAAGAATTCTGCCGAACGAAATGGCGGAACCCTGATCCTGCATAGCTCCTGTGTATGGCCTTCTGCAAACCATATCATCGGCAATAGTCTGAGACCTTCCTATTCCAACTGCATCAGTTGCACATCAGGGATACGGGCATCCAGGATAGGAGCGAAGAACTTAAGTTTCCTTCCGTTCGAAAGGTCGAGCACAAATCTCACCATTGGCTCGTCTGGAATGAGTCGTACAAAAAACTTGCCTCTGACCGCCATCTGGACAATCAAGGTGACAGCCGTAGGCATCGGTTGCTCTGGGGAGGGAGTACTGAATAACTCCGGTACTCCGTCCGCACCATTCCAAGCAATAACCCAAAAGCTGCTTCTTAGCGTTGTGCACATAATGGGCAGAACCTTCTGCTCCACAATGTTAAGCTGCCCACGGGCCAAGGAGGTAGGAGTTCTTCGTCTTGTGGTCTTCATGCCCGTAGTGCCAATGATTGTTTCTCCCTCGCCTGAGTTCTCCGATCTTGGTGTAGAGGTTATAGATTCTTCTCGAAGTAGATCTGAACCACCACTCTCACCTCTGCAATGTTTCCCCGGGGTATCACCCCGAAGTCTTCCGCCCGATGCTTCTGGATCCTGTCTAACTTCACCTCCTCTCAAGTGACTGCTGTTGGCGCCACCTGGTCCTCCCTGATTGAGCTGCGTACTGGCTGACTGGTCAATAATTCTTCCACTTCCTCCGGCCAGAGCCATGGACTGGATCCCAGGACCCTGGACTGGTTGATACGGTTGAAAGCCCGCCGTTGCATCCAGATTGAAAGGAGGTCGAAATATGCCTGATTGTTGAGGAAACAACGGTTGTTGCATCAGCGGGTGCCCTCCTGCTTGCAACAGCTCTTGGAGTAATTGTGCCAAAAGAGCGTTGACTTGCCCTGAGTAAGGTGAAGCCAAAAAGGAGGGGTTCTGATACATGCTCGCATAACCTGCCCCCACCACTGGGCCACCTTGAACTGATTGTCCTGCCTGGCTTTGAACCGAAGCTGTAGGATGAGCCCCTCCTCCTCTCAGCGGACCCTGATAAATAGGCCTTGGAGTTGCTTCTTGTCCAATCGACAGGCCTTCTATTTGTGAAGGAGCGTCTGATTGCTGCCTCGAGCGGTTGTTATTGCGCCTGCACTGCTCAGATGTGTGGAAGAAAGCACGGCACCGTTGGCACCGAGGAGTATCCGACGATGCCAGTTTGACAGTCAGTTCGTCTCCTTCAAAGGTCTCCACCGTAATGGAGTCCTTCATGTTAGGTCTTGCATCCGACTCCAACTCGAATTTGATATTGACGAGCGAAGGTTTGAGCCTGTCTTGTTCCGACGGATGTACGCGGGTAACTGGTCCAATCGCTCTCCTAACATGCGTCTCCAAATAAAACATGGTGTCAAGCGGTACTTGCACCGCAATCACCCAAAAGGTGCCCAGATCATCTAATCTCCTCTGTTCTCTGAGTTGTGCTGAAGTAAGCCACAACTTAAATTCCAACCTATAGGTAGAACCACCGAGGACGATCTCGGCCAGTTCCTTCTCGATCAACCAATCATGGATGATAGTACTCTTGGCGACGTACGAGGCAACGTTTAAGCTTTCAATCTTGACTCTGCCCCGTCGGAAGCTTGACTCGAAATCACCTGCCTGGAGTCGCTCATCCTCGTAAGCTCTGATAAGGTCTTCCTTGACACTCCTAGCGAGGAACCGGGCTGCTTCTCTTAATATGATGGTTACGGTTCGCTCCTTGAGCCACTGCAACTTGATTCTATCGATAGACTCTCTAACTTTAAATCTGACTCCCCGATCTTGTACGGTCATTTCCCCTGGATCTATGTTGCTGGGAAGAATGCCCTCCTCATAGCAAAGGCGGAGCAGCTCCCTCACCCGTTCGTTATCTTCCTCCAACGCCTCCGGTCCCGGCGGGGGGGATCGAGCTTGTCGCCGTTCTTCCACCCCTCCGGGCTCGGCTTCCATGGCGCCTGATATCGCGAGGCTTGAGGATTACACCTGTCTCACGTATAGTCCAAACTAGCGAGGTTGACCAAACCCTGTGGAAGAAGCAAATTCCTAATTCGAATTACCAAAGCACGGAGAGCTCGTAATAAGATCTACTAAGGCAAGACAAGTACCGTGAGGGAGACCACGCTTGTTCGCATGGCATCAAAGCTGGCATGGGGAATGACGAAAAACGTCAACACCATGTTCCCATGCTAGGGCACGAACCATATACGTCACCTTCCAAACCGCTGTCACGGTGAAAGCGGGAGCTGTCGAAACTTGGTCGCCGTTGCCGGCTGGCCAGCGCTTGGTCCGAGCGCTAATTTGCGCCGGCGGAAGAGCTGCAGGCCCCCCCTCCCCGGGAGTGCCTTTCGCCACACTACACTCTCGACCCGGCCGCGCTCAAATTCTGAAAATGTAATTTTCCACATATGGACACGATCAGTGTGAAGCAGTCTGGCAGAAGTTGTTTGTCGCTTCCGGCTCCACTCCCGAATCTGGGTTGAGGGCCTAGTTGCACTACTCACCATCCGTCACATTTCGAGGCGGATCCGTGGAGAGTGAAAAATATGAGAATCGTGTCGAACTCGAGGCCTGGTTGCACTTACTCGCCACGAGATTTCTTCTACAGAAACGTTAAAAAAAATTGTCTCCCCCATGTCGACTCGTGAAGCCTTGCACTCTCCAAAAAGTTGTTTTGTGGCGAGGTCCGAAGAGTCGAAGACCACCCTCCACAAACCGTGTGCACAGGCGGGGAAACTGAATTCACTCTCCATGAGTTGTGTCGACGGTGTGGCGAGCCGTCTGACACATTTTGCATTCGCCAAGTTTGGCAAGTAAGTGCAACCAGGCACCTACTCGCCAAACTTGGCCTATGGCGGTAGTGCAACTAGGCCCTGAAACTCGGAGGAGCGAAGGGGGTCTCTCGAAAAAAAAGCTTTGCATGCGGTGAGTTCGGGAGTGCTCTCGGGAGGCACATTCTGACAGCTCCCGAATTCAATCTGACAACTTGAACTCGGGAGCTGGTGTGGCGATGCTCATCCCGAAAATGGCCAAGTCGAGAGTAGTGTGGCGAGGCCCATAGCCTGTAGAGAGGCGAGGTTGTCGAAAGTTGCCAAGGTCCTCGCCAGACGGCACAACTAACGAAAAGAAGCGACAGTGGCTTGTCGAAAGTTGCTAAGGGCCTCGCTAGACGGCACAACTAACGAAAAGAAACGACCACCAGACTCGCGAGGCCTCACGAAGCCCTGATCCACCGTTTCGCCTCGTTTTTTGCCTCACCACCCCACAACACACAAGAAAACTCTAGCGACAACGCCTTGGCGAGAGTAGTGCAGGGCTCGTTTCGCTACGGTCCAAAATTGCGGACGCTACGGTCCAATTTTTTGGATGGACCTCTGTTGAAGTTATGCAGCACACTGGTGAAATTTTGCAACTCCTCCAGCAGACCAGCGGAGGACCTACGAGTTCGCGAGCGCTGCAGGCAGGGAGGAGTAGGCACACTCGTGAGGCCTCGCGAACTTGGAGTCTGACAGCATTCACGAGTTTTTCTGGCAGAGGTCGTGTGGGTGTTGTGCGGCGACTCCTTCACGAAACGAAGTCGTTTTTTTTTTTGTTTCGTGCACCGTGTGGCGAGGCCCCAAGTCGACTCAGCCTTTCGACAGGTGCTATGTGGCGAAGGCGGTTTGGTGTCGGGAGTTGTTACATGGATGAATTTCTGCACGCAAGTGGACCAGATGCAGACGCCATTCTCGACAGCCACTGTTGACTACATACGGACAAACAGGTCATGGCTGTCAGGCAGCAGTCGAAAATAGGAGGCGTTTTTCGAAAGGTGGGCGGGCCACCGTCGAATTTCCGTCACCTGCAGGCTGGAGGAAACGGTTGTTCAAGGGCGGTTGTCGAAAGTGTCATCCTGACACCTGTCGAAAGTTTGAGCCGCAATTCTTCGAAAGTCTGTGTGGCGATGCAAAATTGTCGAAAACCGAGTTTTCGATAGCCTGTGTGGCGAGTCTCTAAGACTTTGCGTGAGACAAACCATGCGCAGAACCCGCTTTGCAGTAGTTCGGAGGAGATATGTGGAAAAGGTTGATACTCGAGCAGGACTCGTAAGCGAAACTTGCTGAGGCTGTCAGGATAACCCCGGGTTGAATTGTGAGGTCCCCGGCCTCGTCCCATTGATTTTGCAATAAGCACTTTTGGGCTTGGTTTCGTGTGCTGTGCGGCATGCCCGAGAGGTCAAGTTTTGGACACTTGCGCACGGAGGACAAGCGCAAGGAGGATGCGAAGGTAGGGGGTAAATACCAAAGGGGGCCCGTGTCTCGAGGGTCCTCCAATAGACAAGAATCCTAGAGAAAAAAAATAAAAATAAAAAAAATAGACAAGAACCCAGATGCCGACATCTCCAATGGTGTGTCCCTGCCTGTTTGCTGTTTCTTTCTTCTAGTGTTCTTTTTCCTCGATCAGATTCGAACCCACAACCTGTGTTCATTTGCAGTGAGGGCATTATCAAACTAGCGTAGACCTGGACCAATCTGGCCGCAACCACTTCATTGTTATTATTTATTTTTAGAATTTTACTTTTATTTCAAATTTGGTAAAGAATTTGGATATAAAGTTGAGGCAAATGTTGTTTAGTTTACTCTTCTGCATAACATATAGTTTTTTTAGATTTTTTGGAATTCTTTGTTTTTTTTTTTTTTTTTTTTTTTTGGATCTCGGTCAACGCGTCGAGAGGGGTTGCCGAACGTTCGGGTGTTCGGGTTCGGGCGTTCGGCTTGTCCCGAACGTCGGCAACCCTGTATATATATATATATATCTGTTTGTGACGATATATATCGTCACAAATAGAACTGTCTGGTAAACCGTAGGCAGAGAGAGAGAAGAGGACAACAAACGAGGGGTTGTGACAAACTGTTTCGTCGGAGTTTCACTGACTCATCAGGAGGCTGAACCCTATATATATATATATATATATATATACAGACACAGAGAGAGAGAGAGAGAGACTCTAAGAGAGAGAGAGAGAGAGAGCAACTGGTTGTTGTTTACAGGTGATAGTAGATGCACTGCGATCACAATTGGGAGCTCGATTCGAGGCTGATGGGGCGTCATCTGGGAGTTGGAGGAGGGGTTAGCCTTGCAATGTGATGTCTCTTAGATGGTCAACAAGAGGAGACTTTGAAGCGGTGTTGCTATGACATCTTCGAGGAGGGGCAAGATGTGTATGCAACGTTGGAGGAGTGGTACCTGCACTTAGAGACGGAAGATGAAGATAATACTAATGCAAGCATCATCAGTTGTGACGAGCTTGAGGAGGGCCAAACTCGTGTTGATAACGTCCTCGCTATTGACAAACACGCCAACAACAACACATTCGTGCAGGTTCGTGGTGCAAACATAGGGATCGTGAGCTCGGGTGCGCCCGACAACAACGACAACAACAACAACAACAACAACAATGACAACAACAACAACAACAACAGCAACCACGAAGCAGGGATCGTGGGCGCCAGTGACACCATGACTGTTGCGCATGACACTGGTACAAGCATGGAAATTGTGAGTTCGTGCATGCCAGATTACAACAACATTAATAACAACAACAGCAACAACAAAAACAACGTCAATAATACCGACAACGACGGTTTGGTAAGTGTGGTAGGGGTTTCCGTTCTCTCCCCCTCCCCCTCCTCTCCCCCACTGTTCTTTCTCCTTTGCAATCGTGTTGATGACCTGGGGGGAGGGCGAGAGGGTTGTTTGAATGCTTCGTTCAGTGTATTCAATGGGCGTGGGGGAGAGCTAGGAGTGGGATGGGTGCGCGAGGGGGTGGGATAGATATTGGATTGTCTTTAGGGTATGAGTCATTAGGGCCTGCAAATGCGATGTCTGGTTTCTTGTCAGGTGGCGGGGACAGGAAGTGTGTGACTCATTAGGGTTCCGCAACTTGGCCATTAGGTTTTTAGCTTTTCGGGAGGCCGACTCTGATTGCCCCTCGTGCTCATGGTGCTGTACGATTTTTTGGTGGTAGATTAGTATTTCAGGGTAGGGTATGAATCCATGCTGGGGTGGGCAGTCAATCCGCTCTATTGAGGGTAATCACTGTTGCTCACTAGTTACACATACGTGCCTACGTTGCCGCTTGGACGGATTTCTGCGTTTATATCGGGGTGGCCACGTGGCATGCCAATATGACTTCGATTTTTTGCTAAGCTACCCGGGGGTTCATATCCTTGTGGTATAAGCACTAGGATTCGCCACGTGGCAAGCAAGGCGGTGCAATGGGGGTACCAGGGCTCTGCTACGTGTGTGTTTTTAGCGATAGTTTCTCTATTTGGATTGTCTCCTCCCCTCCTCATGGTGCTGCAAGATTTGCTTACACGATGAGGATTTTTGAGTAGGGATATGATCTTATAGAGTGATGGGCAGCCTATCCCTCGGTTGAGGGCAATCTATGCTGCTCATTAGGCTAACGTTGTGTGCCCGCGTGTCGGTGCATGTACTTTTCTCGTTTACGGTAGGATAGACACATGACATGCTTATATGATTTCTGGTTGTTCATAGGGACGCTGAACCTGTTTTCCAACAGGTGTTGCTCCCCACCAATAGATGGAGCCTCCCCGAGCATGCTAGAGGCGTCTGCTCTTATCAGCGCCCCTATCATTCACTCGGGTTGTTCCCGGAAAAAAAAAAAAAAAAAAAAAAAAAAAAAAAAAAAAAAAAGGATAATTGCGTGATCTATAACATTGTGTCCATGTGCTACACTGTATCTTCGCAGCCACCATAAGATGTCAACAAGTTGTCGGACATCCTGGAGTTCAGTGTGTACGGAAATGTCGAACGGGATACACTTCAATGATGCAAGACGAGTTATACAAGACGTTGTGAAGAATCTCGAAATAGTTAGCAAACGGTTGCATGCCGCCACGAAAATCGTTTAGAGCACAGCGACGGAGTTGCAAGCAATGTGTGAAGAGATTGGGGTACACGAACACTGATTGCAATTTGGCCATATGTGAACGGTATGTATATGAAAAATACTTTATCTGGCATGGGGAATTCGAGGTCCAATAGCGAGGGGCGTTGCCCCATATGTGGTCGTTACCCGACCGGGAGCACAACAAAGGCTTCGGCGTCTTGGCAAATGTTACGTGAAAAGAATGTTTCGTCTCCACAAACGCCAAACCGTTCAATAACATCGAAAAAGGCACTGTCATTTTGTGACAGTTGAAGTGTGGTTGCAATGGCGATACGACACAACATATGGAGGGGTTCGTTGACCTTTGCTGTTATTACTATTACATGTATTTATTGATTTGTTTGGGCAACTCTCTCTCTCTCTCTCTCTTTCTCTCTTTCTCTCTTTCTCTCTTTATATATTTCTCTCCTCTCTCTCTCTCTCTCTCTCTCTCTCTCTCTCTCTCTCTCTCTCTCTCTCTCTCTCTCTCTCTCTCTCTCTCTCTCTCTCTCTCTCTCTCTCTCTCTCTCTCTTTATATATATATATATATATATATATATATATATATATATATATATATATATATATATATATATATATATATATATATATATACAGGAATATCGTATATTCATCGGGTATGGCGTCCAGAATAATCGGATTCTCGCACAGTGCGGACTTACCGGACAATCGCACAGCAGACTACTATGTCCTCACTTACCCTGTCAGAGTTGATGGTCCTGGAGAATTGTCCACTTTCGATTGGCTGGATAGACTGTACACGAAGCACGACGTCGTTTTGGTTGACGGTGAAACTGCAGTGCGTTTCATGACGGAGATTTACTATTTTCGAAATTCGATTATACACATACGTATCGTACTAAGAAAAAGTACACCGTACTTCTTGACACGTGTTTTCCATACAAGGCAAGGAGACGAGCTATTTGAAATCGTGCAACCGCTTCTCAGCACAATACTCGAGAGTTATCGTGGAGGACTGTGTAACGACGCAATGTGGAGTGTATGGATGTGGCCACCGTACGTCGCAGGCGATGTTACAGGTTTTTGTGGTCGTCTGGCTTCATTGCTTGCACGAAGGAGGTAAAGCATGACAACGTCAATTAACAGGTACTGGTGGTTTGAACTTACCCCTATTGGATTGTGCACGTTTTTCTTGTCCGTTGTTTGAGGTAGTATTATCAGGTAGTCGGTGCGCATGCTGTTTTGATGCGTACATTCGTATACGAGATAGAAAAAAAAAACATATAATAAGCTTCATCCGTACTGTAATATGGATCGTCGACAACGCATGGACGGAGTGCGTGCCGAAGCAGTTGTATATGGTAATGGCACAAATATTGATCCTTTCTTAGACGAAGACTTGACGGTCGCGAAAATACGGAGTCCGTGGCAAACGACGGTTGCACTTTTGGAAGAGGCAGTGGTTTATGTTGGACTTGAGGACGAGTTGCAAGAGTGTATGAATTTGGTTCTTGGTCGTAACAATATCTTGCCAAAACAGAATCGGTTCAATGGATATGTTGTTTTCTCTCGCATGTGCGGTTTCGTGGTGTTCAAACAGAAATCGTCAGACGAGTTCGAGATGGCGATGCGTGAACGATGGCCGGATACGAACCCGGAAGGGTTTCGACTGCGACGTTGCGATCCTTTTGATAACGCGCAACCTCGTCGACGCACACGACGATAGACCATTTCGTTATTGTGCAGTTGTCCTAGTCGATGCAACGTAGATGAAAGTATGCGGGAGTGTGTGTGTGTGTGTGTGTGTGTGTGTGTGTGTGTGTGTGTGTGTGTGTGTGTGTGTG